ACATGGCTTTCTATGACCTTTTTCTCCCCTTATCAAAATGATCCTGCAGATATCACTGCACTGCTTCAATTTTCCCCATCTCTTTCCAATTCCTAAAGAATCAGTTGATTCCAACATTCCATCTCTCCTCTTTTCAAATGTGGTACCCCAAACACCTACTTTACAACTGAAAAGCTTTAAAGAAAAATAAAATAAAGGAGAATGTAATGAAAACTGGGAGAGGTAAACTTCAGGTAACTTCTTTCAATTTCCCCCTCCCCTTTGACAATTTTGCTCTCTCTTGCTTAATAGCAAAAATTATCATGCTAATTAATGTTCATGTTCTTCTTTATCCTTCCATAATGCTGCTCCCATTAGTCCATTTGTATAACAAAATTCTGATGTGGAGCAATTTGCATAAGTGGACACTGGCATGGCACCTTGCTGTGGCTAAGAGACTCCCTGGTCCTCCAAAATGTGCTGTTTCTTGGATGAGGAGGAGCCAGAAAGAAGTGGGTCATGGAGCTGCAGTTAGGATCCATTGGTTTTAGTATGCCTGGGGAGATGGGGGAGGCGGGGAACAGTGCTCCAGTGGAACTAGGGACAAACTTGCAAGCAGGCATCACTCACCAGAAAGCAAAGACCACTTAGGATGAGATTCATGGGCATGTGCAAAGCAGCACTGTGGAGCAATGTGAAGATGTAGTGGCTTAGAACCTGCCACATGAAAGAAAAGATTCCAAGGGCTGGAGGCTACCCAGAAATAGTCACCGCAACAATAATCTCTTGGATTGGAGGCTGGCCAGGGGCGGAGCTATGCAGTTGCCGGTAGGGATGTGTGTAATGATCGATTTGTATTTGATCTGTACACATTGTGCCATGTTCCAAATATCTGTACTCTGTGAACATGAATTAACAAACAGTCATGTGATTATTTAGGTGACGCTTTCTTGCTGATGTACTATTAAATCTGAACATTAGGGAATACTATATAGAGTCTGTGAGTGGCAGGTTTGTGAGTACAATGACTAGGAATCCTGTGAAATCATGCAGCATTTGGCAAGAGACCTCCATTTTGAATGTGTGGAAAGCATATGAGCAATAGAAAGGTGTGCCTGGCGTGGGCATTTTTTCAACCTGTATTAGGCTTTCAGTCTAAAGCCCACTGAAGTTAATGGAAAGATTCAGTGGGCTTTAGAATAGCCCCTATGAAAATAATTCTGCCAAAGCTAAATACAGAAATGGCAAAGCCACTCTCTGTTGTGGTGGTGCAGTTTCAGGGTATGTTACAATTGCCATGGTGAAGTTAAGTGCAGGTCAGGCATGCAGAGATATATTAAGCCTGACACATCAATCAAATGGTTGCCAAGGAAACCTGTCATGTTCAAAATGAAATAAGCTGGGTGATTGTTGACACTCAGAAGAAGGCCTGGGCCATGAAGGACATGGTGCTATACAATGCTCTTGGTGAGATGTTTGCATGTGATATGGATCTATATTCAACTTTGGAAGACAAGGGATTTGTTATATTGCAGAGTATTCTCAAACCACATTATAATATCTCATCTGAGTTTATGTTCAATCAAATTCCTGACATCTGTGAAAGAATATGCCTATAACTATTAATGCTGGGGGCGAGAGAAATATTACCTATGTTCTTCACCACTGAAGCACAGCTCCAAAATAACACAACATGGTTCTTCACTAGTTTTCCTGTCTCCTATGTTGATAACTAATTTAACAGAACTGCAGTTTTGCACTCTCTCTCTCACAAGCGCGGGTACAGTGACTTTCAAGAGTTTTTTGGGAAATATTGAAGAAAAAAAAAGTTACAGAGAGGAGATAATGTTGGAAACTAACACCAAAAGCTAATATTTACAGTTTGGTCTGTTTGTGCACAGCTTGCATCTCTGTAATGATGCTTTATCCAGCCACTATTTCATATCTGCTATCAAGAGCTACTGGGCTGGAAGCTTCTTGGCTATTTTAAACCCCGAGCATTAGCAATTTCTATACTACCACTTATACAAAAAAGACTATGCCTACCCATCAACCAGTTAATTCAAGATGCTGTAACAACATGGAACTACTATGTTAAAATGTCTCATAGAAAACAAACCAGCTTGGAGTGTGAACTGTGCAGAGCAACCAAATGCCATAAGTCTGATTCCTTCCCAGTGGACTATTGCTGAAACTAGGGCAGATAATACTGAAGTCATCTGAAACTTAACAGGAAAAAATTAATGTAGGCCAGACTGCATCTCTGTAGTAACAGCACTGAGGGCTTTGAAACTGTACTTCACAAAAGTTTTTAAACTATGCATAAATCTAATGAAAGCAGAAACAATTAAATTGTTTCTCATATTTCAGCCACGCTGAAACAGAACACTGGGATTCAGCTACTTGTGTACTAGATCCATGCTCTGTTATATTTTTTCATATTTTTTCTTGGATGGCAACTTCTCTAATGTCAAAGCAGCCATTCAAAGCATTGTTTAACAAGTACTGCTACAGAATGCCAAATATGTCAAAATACAACTTCAAAATAAAGAATTAAAAGGTTATTGACTTACTCATCAAGAAACAAGTAAAGAGAAGGTAGGACTATGGAGATGTTCCCACAAAAATATAGAGGATCTGTAGTGAACAGCTGTCATTTTATCTGACAGAACGATACATTTTGGCAACCCCATAAAAATATAAAGCTATCAGGTTTTGACATCTTTTGGTATGACAAAGTCATTTTCTGAAGCTTTGCCAAGCCATGTTTCCTATGAGAAATTATCTGCTGTCCTTGAGGATCTCTAAGTTGGTTGCTACTGTACCCTTCTTCCTCAGAAGGTTGCGAGCCTTTTTTTAAAAAAATGCAATTTAACAGTAATGTCTGTTTTCTTGAACTCTGATGGCAAATTATTTTTACTTGAGTGACTAAAGGTAGCCTAACTGTGGCCCTGATTCTGGAACTGGATGAGGGTCGGTGGACCCTGGCACCTACATGGAATCTCACTGACTTCAGGGGTTGGCCCACACTGATCCGACTGCAGGACTGAGGCTGGTCTGAACTTCAGAACTGCTGAAGACTTGCAGGTCCAGGTCCTATTTACTCCAATGGGAGGAATGAGTGCTCAGCACCTTTGACGATCAGACCATTTATTTAGGTACCTATCCTTAGGCTTCCAAATTTGAACATTTTGGCTTGAATACCTTTATTTAACAGTTATAGAAGATAGTATGTCACTACAAACATATTGTGGTATTATTTATAGGTCTGTTTAAGTTCTTTATATTGTCATTAGAAACACTAACATGCACATTGTTGTGTATCTTAGTTTAAGAAAACTCTGAATCATGAACAGTGCACACTATTTTTTTAAATTAATGCTTATTTCCAAATGGCTGCTGTATTCATGCTATCAAATGATCAGACATTGTCTTCAAAGCCCTGTTTATCAGTAGCAACTAGTTGGTAACCAGTCAAACAACAAAAATAATCATGACAAGGTGGGTGAGATAATATCTTTTATTGGACCAACTTCTGTTGGCAAGAGAGACAAGTGTGTAAGCTCAAAAACTTGTCTCTCGTTGCCAACAGAAGTTGGTCCAATAAATGCTATTACCTCACCCATCTTGTCTCTCTCATATCTTGGGACCAATACAGCTACATACAAAAACAGGCATCACATCCGTAAAAGGAATCCCTATTTCTTTGGACTGCTGTTACCACTGCAGCTAAGCTTTACCTCTTTTCAGGTTGGCTAGACTAGATGACCTAATACTTTTTTCCACCTCTAATTCACACAGTAGTAAAGTAGAACAATAATTGAATCTCATGAATTTCAGTCTTGTATGTTAAGGGCTGAGTCACATCTGTTCTTGGCCTCACTCTTTCTAACTATTTCCTTGTGTGGGCAGCAGGATTGTAATGTACTTCTGTAATCACACTTCATCTGTACCCCAGTGCTTGAAATACCTGCCTCTTATCCTAGAGGTGCTTAAAATATTATACATACTTTGTAAAATGCTTAGAGATAAACAGGTATTCATATAGATGTGTAAACATAGCTCAAAAAGGGACAACTGAATTTACACACTTTTACGTTTTAAGAATGTGTAAAGGTCATTTCCTGTCAAAACACTGTATTTTAACCATGGGGAAAGACATGCAGATCAAAATGGAAGGCTCCTTTAACTGAAGCAGTCATAACATTTGGCATAAGCGGATTAAACAGTTGCTTAGGGCCCAGGCAGCTCAGGGCCCCCCCGATTTTGTACAACTCCCCAAAATACCATTCATCTTAGTTAGTGGGGGCATTTTAACACGTGTACATAAGTGCTGTGTGGGTGGATTGTGCGGCCCGGGAAATAATACAATTAGGTCACTGGCCGGACTGCACTAGAACAAATGGTGGCGTCTCTGTAACTTGAAATCAGCCAGAGGTTATGGGCGTGCGGCGGACAGATGAACACGATGGCCCCTTCTGGCCTTAAAGCCTATGTTTAGAGGAGGATGGTCCTGCTTAGAGCCCCCAGTGGGCAGGCACCGCCTCTAGCCTTAAAGCCCTGCCCTATGCGAAGGCCTCCGCCTCCGCCGGGTGCAGCCGGCCCCAGGATTCCGAACCGGGGTTTCACTGGCGGCTCGGTCAGGCTGCGCTGGGGCCGGCTCAGCCCGAGCTCCCGCTGGGCGCGGTCGAGGAGGCGCGGCGCGAGGACGGCCGTCCGGGCAATGCATCAGCCAGCACGCAGGAGGCGCTGTGTGCCAGGGGTGACAATGCCGGGCCTCAGCACCGCCCCCCGCGGGGGAGGGATCGAGTCACAGCGCGCAGGACGCAGACCCGGAAGCCGCATAGGGCCGCGGCATCACCGAGTTTCCGGAAGACTCTTACCAGAGCGTCTCTGTCCAGGCACGTCCTCCGAGTCCGTCCTTCCTTCCTTCCGCTTGGGCTGTCCCCTGCCTGGGCGGCCGCCCCCGAGTGGTGGGCGGCGGCGCTGCACCCTGCTCGGCGGCTGCCTGGGGCCGGGATATCTATGGGGCGAAACGAGATGCAATGAACCCGAGAGCGAGCGAGACAGCGACGAGCGCGACGGACACACACCGGAGCCGCTCCATGGGGGATCGGCCGCAGTAGGAGCGGCTCCCCCCGGGTACGATCCGCCCCTGTTCCCCCCTCGGGCCTCTGGAGGAGGATGGCGACAGCGGCCGCCCCGACCCAGCTGGAAGCCGGTGGGTATCGCTGGCGGGGGGAGGCGGGCGGCGCTCCCTGCCGGGTGTCCTCCTTGTAACCGCGTCCCCTTCTTCTCCGCAGAGCTCTACTACCTGATCGCCCGCTTCCTGCAGTCCGGACCCTGCAGGAAATCCGCCCAGGTGAGCGGCCAGCGCGGGGCTCCGGCCGGGCCGGCCCCGCCGCCAGGGCCAGCGGGGGGACGGGGTTGGGCGGCTGGGGCGGCGGTGCCGAGAGGGAGGTTTTCCTGTCGCTACACCGCACTCACGTCCTTTGTGTCTCTCCCCAGGTGCTGGTGGAGGAGCTGGAGGCGCACCAGGTAGGGGCTACGGGCGGGCAGGTGGGAGTCGCCCGGCCCCGCAGCGGGGCCCCCTGCGGCTCTCGGGGACGCTTCGGGCAGCAGCGGGGACGGGTCGGGGGTTGCCCTGCGGCGGGCGCCACTCGGGGTGCTGCCTGTGCGGGGGTGGGCAGGGCCTCGGAGCGGGGTAAGGATCATCCCCGCCTGGGGCCGGGCCGTGGAGCGGCTGGGGCACCGGGGCCGGGCTGGCTGGGACCGGGGCTGGGGGAGGTGCGGGAGAGGCCGTGCCTGCGCTGACTGCCCCCTCCCCCGCCGCAGCTGATCCCCCGCCGCCTGGACTGGCAGGGCAAGGAGCACCGGCGCAGCTTCGAGGATCTGGTGAGTGAAGTTTCGCTCCAACTTCCCCGTAAGTTCCCCCACCCGGCCGCCGCCGCTCCCCACCGTGGGGTGAGCGCTGAGCCCCGGGGTGGGGTGGGGTGGGGCGGGGAGTGGCCGCCTCGCTGGGGGTGGGGAGCGTGGGGGGAGTTACTGCCCCCGGCGCGTGTGTGCGGGGGGCTGCGAGCGAGGTGCCTGTTGTGGAGGGTTATCTGAGGGCACGAGAAGGAGCTTGCGGGGGGAGGGGGGCTGGCGAATGGCACAACGCTTAACAAGCTGTAGTTCCGTGTGTGGGAATGGAAGCTGCCTTCTGATTGGCTGCAGCTCCAAAATACGGGAACTGAGGAGAGGGCCAGTGTTTCTGCATTGGGGGGCGGGGAGGACACCATGGCTCTGGCACAGTGAGAGGCTGGGGGGCAGCCAGGGGGACAGCTGGAGTCCAAGGGTTACTTACTGCGGCTGAGTAATAACCCTGTGAGCTGTGGGCCCCTTGTCATTGATGGTGACAATACCAGCAATGCTTCTTTGGCCTTCTAGGATTTCAAAGCACTGAGGTGCTGTCACCTTTAAATGGGGTCTAAACAAACCTTTTAGCAAACCTACCAACTCCAGTGATATTTCCACTTTTAAAAAACAATTCAATGTAAATAGTTTCCCCCTCTTCTCCTCCCCCCACCATTAAAAACAAGTAAACATTGTCCTGCAGTGCTGGAAACCCAGCCTTCGCAGCCAACACTAAATGTCTTGTATGTGAAACCATCAACAAACAAATGACACTCTGCATTGATTGCTCTTGTCCCAGATGAGAGGAAATGCTAAATGTAACCAAAATATAGTAACAAGAAAATATATTATTAGAACTGAAAGAACTTCCCTGAAATCCAATGTTACTGGTAAGGTAAAGAAAGTTTACAACATAAGATACTGCAATAGCTTTTTAACAACCTCAGAATGTCCCCTGTGAACTAACACAAAGCATCTGCAGTTTTCAAGAGGGGAACTAAAAGGCAGGTTAATTGTTTAAGTGACACACAGGAAGTCACTGGACAGAGACAGTATTATGATTCAAGGGTTCCTGGCTCTGGCCTATTTTCAATCCATCACACCACACTGATGTAATTGACTGCCTTATTGAAACAATAAATCCTGTACAAGGTCACTTAAATGTTTCAGGAATATGTAGTAAAAATATGAAATGTTTCATATTATAGTTATCAAATCCAGAGATTCCATGTGCAGAGACACAAGGAAATCAGAGCGAGTGACTCGTTCCCTCTAGAGATGTTGGCTCCCCTCTGCAATGAAGCTACATGTGGCCTTTAGGCCCCTGGAGACTCTCTGGGCCTGATCTTCAGAGGGGGTGGCACCTGAAGCTCCTGTTGACTGCAGATGAAGTACTTGGGCTTTCAGCCCCTGGAGACTCTCAAAGTCTAATTTTCAGAGGTTGCAGGCATCTGCAATTCCTGCGGACGGTACATGCAGTTGTGGTGGTTCTGTATGGAAGCAGCAAAGACTGGAAGAAATGAGTCGGTTTTCATTGTTTTTGGAGGGTACAAGTGCCCCTCCCCCATGCACTTTTAAAGTTACCAGGAGTTACATACAATAAAGCTTGGCACCAATATATGACTTTGCAGTTCAGAATTATGTTAAATCATTATTATTAATTTTCACAACACCCATATTTGGCATGTGTATGATCTTGACTTGCCCTGCCTGTCTATCAGAAACTGAAGATAAGTACCTGTTTCCCTTCCAACCCCACAAATTATAATGATCGTGTGGAAGGGTGACATGGTATTGCTCAAACTTTACTACATTTTTATTGACTGAATAATAAGTTTTTCATGCGGTAGTGTCCCCTAGAACAGTAACTTTTAAGTTAAACTAAAAAATGGGAAGTCTGCCTTAGAGGGGACTTACAGCATCCATACCTTGTGGCTTTTCTTTTCCCTAAGCTTATGGAGAGTTGAAAGAGACTATAATGCTCCATCTAACCTCTGTCAGATGGTAGCCTGGCCTGATATTTAAACTGAAAGAAAGGGAGTAAGTTCTGTGGTGAATAAAACTTCAGTGCAATATTTTTTTCTAGGGAACCCAATATCTGGCTGCTAGGTTATTTCATGTTTGCTCTGTGATTATATCTGTCACCTGAGATGAACTCTAACAGTAGGGGAGGCCGAATCTGATTTCAGGCAAATATGGTGTTTGCTTCAACAGTAGCATTAATCTTTGCACTTTTGTTCTTTATATTAAATCCATCCACGCTTTCTGGAGTACTTTGGGGCACCTCTAGATTACCTTGTTTGTTCATCGAATGGCATTTGAGGCCACATAAAATTCTTTAAAACTTTAATCTTGTACCAGTAAAATGAAGACAATAAAAATCAGGTGGGGGAAAAAAAGCTGAGAAAAAACAAGGTTTCTGAATTGTTTGGAAGTGGTTGTGATTTCTATATTTTAATAGATAAAAGGTTTTGCTTTCGGACTTAAAAACAGGCAGGAAATTTCCCTCATTTGCATTTTATGTTAATATTACGTAACTAGTTAAGGTGGGTTACAGTAGAGTAAAGGAGTATAAATTAAATATTGTGTGTTTGTAGCTCTCTGTTATGGCTGCCTTCATGTTGTTCATTTTCTTTCCTGCTAGCCTTTTCTATTAATTCCCAGAATAAAGCTTTATCTGACCTGAGGATGTTGGAGGAATGGCTTTTCTCCAGCCCTCATCATTCAGGGTTTGATATACTTGATGTCTGGATTCTTGAATGTATGTGACTATGTATATTTGGACTACTTGTCTGGCCTCAAGTATTCTGCAGGGGAGTAAGACATTTGAAGATATTGTGCAGAACAGTGCCACCATCATGAGGTGCCCAGGTCATGATGAAATTCATTTTAATAGTCTTTCTTGGAAATATAACTGGGGATCTGAAGATGCAGTTATCACTCCTTACCAATCATTTACACATTGAATTAAAAATCTCTTTTTAAAAGGATGCAGCATCACTGCTCCTTCATGCTGATGCCAATATTGACAACATAGAGAAGGCAGATAGGTGAATTGCCAAGGAAGAACTTTTATTTTTGCTTGTTCCTATGGTGTATAAAGAGTGGCCTCCTTTATTTTTTTTCTTTCTTTTTCCACATCTTTTCTAACTCTTAAAGAGTATCAAGTCTTGATTTCCCCGTTCTTGCTGCAGGATTCTCTAGAGATCTTGTCCCTCATTTGAATAGAGAAGGGTTGTTTTAAATCTTTCCCAAAAGCTTTTGTCCTAAATGATAGTCAGGAGCTTGAATTCAACAGGTTTTAACAAACTCACTGTTTTATACAGTTTGACTAAATATTTGGCTTTTGGGAAGTGACCAGGAATATAACTAAAAACCTGCTTTGTAGACTTTTCCTCTATTTATAATTTTGTTTTTAATTGTAGCCGTAAGCAATTTTTAAAAGTACATTTTAAAAACAGGGTTTTCTTTATTAAATTTTAGAAAAAAAGTTGCCCTCTGATTCTGTACAATTAACAATGAGAATATAATTAACAGGGGTAAGAGAACTCTATTAATTCTTGCCTCCAGTCTGCTCAGACTTGTGTGTTATATCCAGAATCTTCTGAATTTCTGTGAAGTTTTCTCTGTATTTCTATTCTGTTTGGACCTGGTCTTGTACTTAAAAGTCAGATAATATGGGGCATAAGAAGAGTCATTTAAAATGTGTTTAAGGGCAAGTAAGAATTTTAAACATAGTTGCTGAACAAAAACTGTAGAGATTTCTGGCCATGTTTGTATGTGTATTATTCTTCATTGAAAAGATGAGGGGGATGGGGGAACAACAATTTTGGACACTTTTACACAAGTGCTGTGACTAATGCTGTGCATCTGCTTGCATATGCAATATGAGCAACTTAGTGAACTCTATCAGGGGTAGTCAATAGGTGGCCTGTGGGCCAAATCTGGACCACCAGACGCTTTTGAACCAACCCCAAAATCTTTTTATTTACTTATAATTAGTGTTGTGGGTTTTTTTCTTTCCTCTGGAGTGTGGACCTTGACTATGCCTTGACCAAGAAATTTGGACCTTGACAAAAAATAATTGACTACCCCACTCTAAAGGCTTACCTTCACTAGACTTTTTTTTTTAACCTTGGGCTATTGATAGCCAATGAATGTTTGAGCTACCTCTGGTGTGTTTGTAAAAGCTAATGTGGATGCTCTCCATGTGTTTGTTACAGCCTGTGTCCACACTAGCCTTCAGAAACACTCAAAGTGCTTAGAGTTCATTGACAATCAATAATTTGAAATTTGGTTGTGGGGGGGCGGGGGGGAGATCTAGTGAATACACCTGCTTGGTTGTTGTGCAGGCTAATTATCCCATCTGGCTTACCTCATCAGTAATGCCTCTAGCTGGCTACTTTTACAGGTTTTGTTCATTGCATTTAAAATGGATTGGCTGTGTCCTGGTTTCTGATGTGCTGTCTTATTTGGTTAGGCCTATCTTGGTCTGTTTGCTGAAGATGTGTACATGGTTTCCTGGGTTCCCTGAGACCTACTGGTTTTGGGTACTGATCCTGCAATCTGATCTACATAGGCATTTAATTCAGTGGGACTTCATACCAATGAAAGGCTCTGCCAGTATGGAACAGATTGTAGGACTGGGTCCCAAGTTCTTACCTTGTCTATTTAAGTTACTTAAAACTAGCTGTGAGATTGTGGGGCCATTATTGATAGACATCGTCAATGCCAATCCTAGCAAGGGAGAAGGGTATTGGAAATCCTTGTACATAAGTCAGCTCATCTCAAACAAACAACATTGCTTGATAATAGGGAGCTTTTTATTTTTAGAGAAGGTGGTTGAGTGGATGGTGGCTTTACAGCCATAGGTATATTTGGACACCAGTGACATCCTGGGTGTGTTCCAGATTGTGAACTTCCTTTTGAGTTGAAACTCCACTCATCAGGGTCTTCAGTAACTTCCTGCTTACCTTATATAACAGTCAGTTAGCTATTTTGGTCCTTCTGGACTTGGTTGCTTTTTGATACGGTTGACCATTGGTTGTTGCTTTAGCAGCTGAGGGAAATTGGGTTTGGGCGAAAGTCATATCTAGACAGGAGAGATCTATCGTTGATGACAACTGTCTATCCACAAGGAATTTGGTATGCAAGGTCTCTCAAGATGCTATGCTCTCTCCTGTATTAAATACATATGAGACTGGTGAGATCACTTCAAAGAAGAAAGTGGGATCTGATCAATATGCTAATGATATGCAAGTTATTAGTTCCTGCACCATAACTCCGCAAAGTCAGTCGCTAATCTGAATGAGTTTGCCAGACGGATATGTTGGAGCTATCTACTCTCCATCTCTGGGAAGCAAGAAGTCTTGCTTGTGGATAGAAGCTGTCATGAAGACTCATTTTCTTTGTTTCCCATTTATTGAGGGGCCTCTTTCACAGTGAGCAATGTTAAGAATTTAGTCACTTTTGACTTAACTGTATTATGATGATCCTTAACAGAACAATATACTCTTGATAGTTGAAGCTCCCTTCTAGCATTGGTTCCAGCAGCTCTTCTTCATTGCTTGCAGCAACTTGTTTGTGACTAGTTTTTGGGCAGTCATGGTCGTATTACATTCACGCAGTGTTCTTTATGTTGGCTGCTTATGAAGTGACCAATTCACTTTAATCAGTTCTGTTTGCTCTTTAAGTCCTTCACTGTATTGGGTGTGGCTATACTGATGACCTCTTCCATAAGCCTCATCTTGCTATTAATTCTAGAATCTTTGGCAGAGCTCAACATTACTGGAATTATTGCTACTTTCCCTTTTGAGAAGCAGTGGTTGCTCAGGTGGCACTGAAGGGCCTGATTCTCTGATCCCTCTCATAGTTGAATGAGAAGCATTTTAGTTGCTTTTTGTCAAGTATAGGGTTGTATTTAGAAAATCCTCCTTTTTCATATGCTAATTGATGTTACTCATGGAAGTGTATTGTAGACGATGTGACTCATCATGTTGTGCCAGGATAATACCACTGCTATTGACCATTTGGAATCCTAATGTCATAATAATCCACCTGACAAACTACCCAGGTTGGAATGCGAGTGCATATCGTTTCTTTGCAATGGATGCAATGCCAGAATGTCTGGCTCTACTTCAATAATAAGTAGTTAGGCCTGCTGTTTGGTGAAATGAAGAGACAGATTACAATATAGTGGGACAAGGTGGGTAAGGTAATACCTTTTATTGGCTTGACTTCTTTTGGTGTGAGAGACAAGCTTTCGAGGTTACACAGAGCTCTTCTTCCGTAGACTCATTTTAGCTGATGAAAATTTCTTCATGGCGTCAGAGCATGTGGGATATAACCTATATATGCTTGCAGTGTTATTTGGTCCCAGGATATTAGTGAGATGAGGTGGGTGAAGTGATATCTTTTATTAGACCGACTTCTGTTGGTGAAAGAGAGAAGCTTACACAGAGCTCCTCTTCAGGCCTGGGAAGGGTACTCAGAGTGTAAGATACATTGTATCACTAATAGCTATTTTCTAGTTTTCAGATCTGTAGTATGTAATTATGGCTGTCCTCTTGATGTTGACCATAAAAAGGAGGTAGAAGCAACTGAGTATTCTGTTTGTGTGTGTGTGTGTGGGGGGTGAGAACCTGGATTTGTGCTGGAAATGGCCCAACTTGATTATCATGCACATTGTAAGGAGAGCGATCACTTTAGATAAACTATTACCAGCAGGAGAGTGGGGTGGGAGGAGGTATTTTTTCATGCTTTGTGTGTATATAAAAAGATCTTCTACACTTTCCACGGTATGCATCCGATGAAGTGAGCTGTAGCTCACAAAAGCTTATGCTCAAATAAATTGGTTAGTCTCTAAGGTGCCACAAGTACTCCTTTTCTTTTTGAGTATTCTGTGTTGGAAGAACAATTTCAACTGAAAATCTTAACACTGAATTTTAAATGCCATTTATTAGAAATAGCAAAAGTAAGACTGGTTTGGAAATTTCAGATGGCCAGATGCTACTTGCTTGCTATTCATAGTGGCTAACGAAGAAGCTATTTGTTTGTTTTTGTATTGGGAAATAGGCTATCTTTATCTAGGAAAGGGCAATACTGAAGAAGAATGCAGACCATTTTCTTATGATGGGAGACTTGAATCTTACACCCCATGGGTATGGAGTAAGCTCAGTTAATGTCAGGTCTTAATGGCACCCATTCACAACAGCTAAAAACTGAGCAGACAGACCTTGCAGCTATTGTAATGTTTCCAGGTTTTTCCACACCCCCTATTGTTTAGGTTTTAAATGGAACGTGTTTGTAACAACAGTATGGGGTTAAAATGTCTGTCAAGTGAGGAAGGCCATCGTTTTTTATCTGAGTAATAGATACTTTGTGTGAAAAGAATAAACTGGTGTGGTGAAATAGAAAATGGTTCCCCAAACTGCACTCTGCTTACTCAAAGTACTCCATTGAAAACACTGAGGTTTGGGGGATTTTTGTTTCTTCCTCTCTGGCTTTCAGAATTTCAAAATCAACATGTAATACTTGAAACTATAATATAAGCTATTGAGTTGGCTAGTGACATGACCTTACTGGTCAATTTTCTTAACGTCCAAGGTATTTACAGGATTCTTTTAGATATACTGGGTGTAATTCATATTGAGTTTTAACAAAAATTGTTCTTGCTTGTCTGTGTACTTAGATATTTAAATATGAACTGAATAAATAAAATACAAAATGAAAAAAGCTCAGATGAAGAGAAGATTTTTTTCTACCCCTACCTCCAATTTTAGGAAAAATAAAAATGGCGTGTGGTGTTTCATGTGTTTAGGTGGCAGCCAATGCACACATCCCTCCAGACTATCTTCTGAAAATCTGTGAGAGAATTGGACCCCTCTTAGACAAAGAGATCCCACAGAGTGTTCTTGGAGTGCAGACTTTACTAGGCGTGGGACGGCAATCTTTGCTAAGGGCAGCAAAAGGTAAGATTTGAAGTCCACATAATCAAGAAAGATTAATATTTAATGCAAAGTATCTTCTAAGTTTGGTGGTCTGAGGCATTTGCATACTTGTATGAGCACTCCTCATGCTACTTTCTATGGTCAGTTTCTACGTTCTAGTTACAGAATTGCTAAAACACAACCACTAGGAGAAAGTTTGGCCTTCTCTAAGGCCAGGATTACACTAGAAAAGGTTTGCTGGTATAGCTGTAATGGCAAACCCTCCAAGCATAGGTGCAGCTTATACTGGCGAAAAAGTGCAGTTGCTGATGAGGCTTATATTGGTTCTAGAAATGAAATAAGCTGTCCTGGGAAAAGCTGTCCTTTTTATACCAATTTAGCTGTGTTTACACTTGGAGTTCTGCCAGTACAATATTGCAAAAAAACCATTGCCCCTAAACAGCGCCGGCAAAAGTAGCACTGGCCTGAGGCTATGTCTACAGTAGCACTTTTGTCAGTTAGGGATGTGAAAAAATGACCCTCCTGATCGACAAAAGTTTCACCAACAAAAGCGCCAGTGTAGACAGCACTATGTTGGTGTAGAGCGACTTTTATATGGGAGATCTTATAGCAGTGCAGCTGCAGCAGTACAGCTGTGCCATTGTAGGGTCTGTAGTGTAGACATAGCCTGAAGTTGATAGGAGGTGTAGACTCCTTCAAAGTCTTTTTTAAAAAGATGAGCTTTGCATTATACCGTAAAGGTCAGCAGATTTGAACTACTTCAGATCAAGGGGGAGAAAACTCCAAAGTTGCGGGACTTTCACAGAGGATACCCTACTAGCAGTCTTATCTCTTGTAAATTTAAGGTACTATAGTTCAACATACAATAACCTGTGAGAGAGCTTTTCTTAGGAGAGGATACACGTTGCCACTCAGCACTACGCAGGTTATCCCAAGCAAGTGTCCATAAAACCTTTATACCGCACCAGCTTTTATTCTGTCTATGCATATGTGGTACAGAAAAATTATTTTAGAAATATTCAGTTATTTTAAAAGATGTTATTGAGACAGTTGAATGTACATTACTTTGAATACTTGTGGCTACAGCTCACGAAAGCTTATGCTCAAATAAATTGGTTAGTCTCTCAGGTGCCACAAGTACTCCTTTTCTTTTTGTGAATACAGACTAACACGGCTGTTACTCTGAAACCTGTCATTACTTTGAATGTAACTGTGCACCACTTAGAAGGAGAAAAATGAATAAATGTAAGACAGCTGTAAAAATAACATGTAATACCTTTTTTTATATCTAAAAATGTCATAAAACTGGAAGAGCTGTATCTGTTCCTTTCATGGCTACGAGTGAGTTCTGGGTCCCACTGGGAAGCTGGGAGTCTCCTCTCTCATTCGGATGTTGTGCCTGAGGGAAGCTCTGCTAAACCATGGGATATCACTTTAAAATGGTGCCATTTTTCAGTAAAAAAAAGCTGCCACAAGACCAGGGCTTAATCTTGCCTGATATGCACCCTTGGCAGGTGTAATGTGGTGGAGAAATTCCATACTTGTAAGGAGAAGAATGATTAAACAAACAAACCCCTGTTCCAGTTTCAGTGTTAGAATAAATCCCAGGGCAGGTGATTACTGGGCAGAGCTCAGATGAGTCAGTCAGAGATACAGGATAACTTGAAGAGCAATGTGATGAATTCATTTATTACAGGGAGATTTCTTCCATGTATTTGACTTTCTGTATAGAGAAAGTATATTGGCCTTGTGCCACTTGATGGGTAAACAATATCTTTGTTCTAAGAAGTAGTAGTTCTTTCCAGAATGACAGTTTATGGATCTTTTAAAGTTGCACTTGAGTAGTCTAGATAGTGACCGCAAATAGAGAGCTCACACCTTTGTTCTAGAAAGCTTAAGGTGCACTTCTATATATAATTATTACAATAAGAGAAAGCTATGATAGAATTTGGGTTGTACTTAAATATTCCATCAGGGTTCTGCCTGGATTTGGATACTCCGTGTTCATGGATTCAATGGTGATGCATGAGTCCATCCGTCAGGGGCATTAGTCTTCTGCTCCACAGCCCTTCCTCATTATAGAAGCTCAGTTCTGTCCTTCCAGATGGCCACTAATGGAAAATGCCCAGCTCTGGTTTCCGAGGCACTTTGTTGAGCAGGCTCAGAAAATGCACTATTGTTTCCATTAGAGGGAAGGCTGTCTTGAGGCCAACTGGCAGCAAAGTAGCTGGAGAACCTTAAAAGAAAATGGCCTTAATTTTAAAAACAATGTTTTAAAAGAGAGAATGTGGAAAGCATATTGCCACCAATTGAAGGAAACCAGATTTATTAAAACAAAAATCTTACTCACCCCCATTCCAAGTCGAAAGTATTTGTGTGTACTGTCTTCCAAATGTGTAATACACTGGGACTTTCTTAATGCAAATTAAGATGAAAAGTTGAGATTTACTTTTTTAGTGTTCCTTCCTCATGTGAAGTTTATGAAATGTTGTTTTTACACTAGTAATTACATTTACTCTGACTCTCTCACAGTTTCCCCCTGCCATCAAATTTAGACTTTCTAAACCTGAGAAGCCAAGTAAATAAAGAGAGAATTTGAAAATGTTTCTCAGACTTTATCACGTAGTAAGTACAAAGCAGAGTTTCATCATCATTAATTTGTCTGAAACCTGACTCTTTAAAATGATTCAGCTGCATTTTAAGAAATCTGTGATTCCCTGTAGCCAGGCCATACTAGGAAGTCAGGGGATGAGTTTGTGGTGTTACCAGTATTTGGACAAATAGGTCAATTGGATACAGAACCCACCTCTGCAGCTCTTTTTTATTTTTTTATTTTTGATCAACTGTTAATTTCATTGATCTAGACTGCAGGCATACGCTATGGAAGGGATCTGCATTTGCAGCTCTTCACAGAGGCCGACCTCCCGAACTACCTGTAAATTATGGGAAGCCACCAAATGTGGGTAAGTAATATCCCATTAAAATATAAAGTGTTTTGGATTTTATTCGTATCTTTATTAGCATTTTCAGTTGAAACTTTTGTTATTAATCCAGACGCTACTTTAGGTTTTCATTTACATTTTTTGATGAGTTTCAAGATGAACTCATCCCAAAAGCTTTTAATTTATTCTACAAGTGTTTTGCTTCTTCCATCAGTCTCTTTCATTTGCTCTCTTGCTTCCTAATTTTTAAATCTGTGTGCGTGCACGCCTGTATATACATAAATTATATTGTTGTCCCTCTGCCAACTGGTGGTGGATGTCGGAGCCTGACTTGTCAGCATCCCTTTGGAGGAGAAATCAGTGATATGAAATCTGGATATGTTCTTGTCTGTTTAACCTATATATGCCAGTCCTTTGAACAGAGTTGGTCAGAAACCACATACAGGCAATTCCTTCTTCCAGGAATCTCAGCCAAAACACCAGTGCCTGGTTCTCGGGGAACACTTCTGTCTCAAGGATTGATTAGACAGAGCAAACTGCTTGTCACAGCTCCCTCAAAAAGAAGCTGAATCACAAAACTAAGAATCCAAGCATTGTGTCAGACTGAACAGTGCACACGTTAAAGAAAAATAACTTGTAAGACTATTTATAATAGCATCAACTGGTGGTTCCCACCATAACTATAAGACATGTAGGTATTGAACTGTTTAAGCCCTTTTCTACATGGGAGTGCTTTATAAGGTATACAGCTATAGTTATGTTGGTATATCTCCCCCCCTCCCTCCCCAGCCCTCCGTGAAGATGCTTTTATTCTGATATAAACATTCCTTTTGTTGGTTTAGTACAAACACCTTCCCAAGTGATTTAAAAGGAATGCTTATACCAATACAAACCCTAATTTGGACACTCTTATTGTGATATAACTACATGGATTTACATTCACACCTTAGTCTGTGCTGAAAAAAACTTTCTCCTGTAGACAAGGGCTAAAACTTACACTAGCCATTGTTACAGCAAAGAAACCATCTTGATGGCTTGCTGGAGGACAAGCAGCTGCCCTCTGCGCACACCTTCTTTGTTATTTTATTGTTTTATTTTTCAGATGAGCACAGGCACACTTTTGTTGTCTACTGAGGAATCTGTTTGCTGTCACCCTCACTTCTTTCAAATAGAGCAAGTTGACAAATGAAACAGGGAAGACTTTCTAAGTTTCTTTAGCATCCAGTCCAATTATTATTGTTAATTTAAAATATCCCAAAAAAATGAGTGTTTTTTCTTTTTTGTCTGTCTTCCTGCTATCCCTGCCTTAGCCTTTTTGGAAATTTTCCCCTTCACCTTCTTAGTGGGTTTCTCTATCCTCTACCCAAAGCTAGGACCCTCCCATCTGGGATTATTTTGATTTTCTTCTTCATGTATAGTAGGATGCTTATTCTTTGTTCCTACTGTCCGCATCCATTTTTTGTGTTTCTGGTCTCCCTCCCAAACTTTTTCCTCCTTCATTTCCTAAAATCAACATTTGCTGAGAATGAAACTAACAAAAATTACTTGATTCAACATAGATTCATAGATATTTAGGTCAGAAGGGACCATTATGATCATCTAGTCTGACCTCCTGCACAACGCAGGCCACAGAATTTCACCCACCACTCCTGCAAAAAACCTCATACCTATATCTGTGCTATTGGAGTCCTGAAATCATAGTTGTGACTGAAACCCAGTCAGTGTTACTCTGCACAAGATGTGTGTCATATAAGTAACAGAATGACAGAACAGTAGTAATAATGAGACAAGGTGGGTGAGGTGATACCTTTTATTGGACCAACTTCTCTTGGTGGGAGAGAGAGAGAGAGATGCTTTTGAGTTTACACTTGAAGAAGACCTCTGTGTAAACTTGAAAGCTGCTCTCTCTCACCAACAGAAGTTGGTCCAATAAAAGATTTCACCTCACCTGCCTTGTGTCTCTAATATCCTGACAAATAATATGCAACAGTATAACATTTGTAAATTTTCCTTCTGTTGGCTAATAACTCATGTGTGACCCTGATAGTTAGAGGTCACAAAGGGATTATGGCTTTGTGTTACTTCTCTGCATTTGTTCTTTTAAACTAGCCTAGTAATGATAAAGCAACAGTTGTGTTAATGGATGGTTAATGGGTCTGATCTTAATCATTGCCATACAACTCTTATTGACGTAAATAGAAGTTATACATATGTAAAGGCTGCTGGACCACAACCTTAATTAGGTGATTCAGGTCATGAAAATACGGCTTGTTTTGGATAATTTGTATTATAATTCGTTAATCATAGTTAACAGGTCAAACTCGAGCCTTTCTTCATGGCTATTATGTCAAAGAGCTATATGTTACCTCTGTGACATAACAGTTGTAAAATGACTTTATGGTGGTAAAGAGCAGAATAGTTTTCTGTTTTTCATGGTTAATAATTCTTTGAATCTTTACTGCTTCATCTCTTGTCACTTCTGAACCCACCAAGATAAAACTGTGATGGTAGAAGCAGCTGTTATGTACATTTTCATTTATTGTATAAATATTGATATGGTTACAGCTTAAAGGGTCTTTTCTGCTTTCCATTTGTATACATAACTGCTGTTAGGTGAGACAGGAAATGTAGTGTACAAGGTATATGTAAAAAACAAACTCCCTGAAACTTGGTTATAGTTGAACTATATGGTAACTTTGGGATATGATTTCACAACAATTCCCACTCCTCCCATTTCTGAACTGTTCGAAGTCTCTTCTTATATATAATGGGTTGTCTTGGGTATGATAGGTTGTAAGGTTTTTAAAGATGTCTTATTGTATGTTTATTAAGTACCAAGCAAACTTACAGCGCTGTATTCAGAGCATTCATTGAGTAATCTGCCATTCTTAATAGTTAAAAATCTTGTTGCTCAGAAGGCAAGATAAGTGTCAGTGTTACATACTTTGTAGAAAGAAAAGGAGTACTTGTGGCACCTTAGAGACGAACAAATTTATTTTGTGAGCTACCGCTTTTGTGAGCTACAGCTCACTTCGTCAGGTGCATCCGATGAAGTGAGCTGTAGCTCACGAAAGCTTATGCTCAAATAAATTGGTTAGTCTCTAAGGTGCCACAAGTACTCCTTTTCTTTTTGCGAATACAGACTAATATGGCTGCTACTCTGATACTTTGTAGAATGGGTTGAATTCTGGTAAGCAAGCAGGTTAATATTTAAACCAGAAATGTCAAACTCCTGACTGCCACTGTGACAGGTAGAGATGCTTCAGAATAAACATTTCATCTTAAAATTAACAAATTCCCCTTTCCCTCCATGTCCTCTTTATTTAAAAAAAAAAATTCTAGTGGGTATGCTTGAGAAGAGAGCCTTCCAAATGTGAACTCATGTATTCCTGGCTTAAAGAGCTCAAAGTGAACTGGGGTACTTCACAGATCTTTTAAATAATAAGTTAAATTCTGAAGCCTAATATTGCTTTACGTGTCAAATTTCCAATAACATTGGCACATAATTGTTTGGTTTGTTTATGAAATTGTTGTGGTTGTGCATACAAATTATTTACACTTGAAGATAGATAAATAAGCAAAGGGCAGAAATAGCTGGTGTAAAAGTGTCCAGTATCATTTTCCCCTCAGTGAGTAATATTGACTTCAGTAGTAACTTAACTAAAGTCAATAGTTATGCAGAAATTTACTAACAGATATAATGCTACTTCTGTGGGACTGGTCATGGTTATCTCCTCATCCTTAGGGTGTGTGCTGCACAGTGCCTAGATCCTTTCCCTCCAGGTCAGGGGATTTGTGGGGAGTGAGGTAAGGCTGGGAATGATACAGATCATCATTTCTTTCCCCCACCAACCAACCAACCAACAACTAGGGGAACTTGGGGAGGAAATGCAGTAAAAGTACTGTATGTAGTGGAGTTGTGTGCTCCTACACAGAGTGTGTTAGGAAACTCTTCGGTACAGGAGGAGGATGTATCTGGGGAAACTACCAGCTACAGGAATCATGCTGCCAGACTCCAGCTAGGGGCTTATACCACAGAGATGTAGAGTTTCCTTGTTGACTCTCTGAGACCTGTGCTGATGTCCTCTCCCCCACTAACAATTTCCATAAGGACATCCCCATAGATATAAATGCTCTTTAGTCTGCCCCTTCAGGAGGGGGAAATTGAGGCCCCCTTTGTGCCATCAAAATTGGGAGAGGGAGCCGTGAACTTTCTAGGGCTCCTGTGGGAATTATGGTGGAGGGAGGGTTGGGAGTTCTGACAGCCCTCTCAGGTGGCACAAACCTACTCCTATAGCAGTGGGAGTCTGCTATAGACCACCAGACCAGGGGGATGAGGTAGATGAGGCTTTCTTCCGGCAGCTCACGGAAGCTACTGGATCGCATGCCCTGATTCTCATGGGTGACTTTAATTTTCCTGATATCTGCTGGGAGAGCAATACAGCGGTGCATAGACAATCCAGGAAGTTTTTGGAAAGCGTAGGGGACAATTTCCTGGCGCAAGTGCTCGAGGAGCCAACTAGGGGGGGCGCTTTTCTTGACCTGCTGCTCACAAACCGGGTAGAATTAGTGGGGGAAGCAAAAGTGGATGGGAATCTGGGGGGCAGTGACCATGAGTTGGTTGAGTTCAGGATCCTGACACAGGGAAGAAAGGTAAGCAGCACGATACGGACCCTGGACTTCAGGAAAGCAGACTTCGACTCCCTCAGGGAACGGATGGCCAGGATCCCCTGGGGGACTAACTTGAAGGGGAAAGGAGTCCAGGAGAGCTGGCTGTATTTCAAGGAATCCCTGTTGAGGTTACAGGGACAAACCATCCCGATGAGTCGAAAGAATAGTAAATATGGCAGGCGACCAGCTTGGCTTAATGGTGAAATCTTAGCGGATCTTAAACATAAAAAAGAAGCTTACAAGAAGTGGAAGGTTGGACATATGACCAGGGAAGAGTATAAAAATATTGCTAGGGCATGTAGGAATGTTATCAGGAGGGCCAAATCGCACCTGGAGCTGCAGCTAGCCAG